AGTTGCAGAACTGGCACAAATCATCTTGTTTGATAAAGAAGTCAATTAACTTTTTGGAAGAATGAGACCTATTTATAAAGCAAAAAGAAAATGTAAAAATTTATGTGGGCTTTGAAGGTAGAGTAAAACATTGCAATAGCAAGGGAGAATGAAAGAACTGTCTAAAACAAGACATTACTATTGTTTTTAGTAGAGAGGGTGGGGGAAGTTAGCTTCAATTCAAGCACAGATTGGTCTAAGTCATTTATGAGAAGATTAAATATGTGTAAGATTACTGCCATTAGGAATTGCATAACAGCACTTACGGCAGGCACACACATTCCACCAATTGTTAATTTTTTTTCCAACGTCTATTCTCTTTCCCCAAAATGACTCCCCCCACTCACAACCCCTTTGAGCCCCCACCCCTTTTACAGGTATGTAAGACCCGTCGCAAACTAGCCTCCTGCAGAAGCAAACCTTGCCAGCACGTCCCTGACGTCATGAGACTCCGCCTCTCGCCCCGCCCTTTTCTCCGTGCCAGAGTGGTTTTTCCTTTGCTAGGGCAGCATTGCCAGCGTACTCTCTCAGTTGGCAGACTGCATTCCACCCCCCCCCCACCCCCCTGTGCAAGCATTACGATCTGCCAGGGAGGTCTTCCTCGCGGTCCTGCCACCATCACAAGGACAGTTGGTGGGGACAAGGGATGGGCATTGTATTGACCTTAAATTGTTGTTTTATATCCTATTGGTTTTATCTTTTATTGTATACTTTGTGCATTGTTCTGGCACATTGCACCATGTGTAAGCTGTCCCGAGTCCATTCGGGAAGATAGAGGTGGGGTACAGGAAAAAAAGCTGTCATTTATTATTATAATGCAATGGTTCTTAACCTGTGGGCTGTGGGCCATCATTGGACTGTGAGAACGAAAATCTTGTCTGCAAGAATCCTTTCTCTTTATTTTTTTTTTGTATTTTTTTCTGCTCCTTTTGCGATTCCTGCTACTCCTTTCATGGCATATTTATTTATTTGCAGAATTTATATGCCGCCCTTCTCACCCAGAAGAGACTCAGAGCGGCTTACAAGTCATATGCACATACAACATACTATATTATTAGCACAGTACTAAAACATCATTCATAATATTAGTATTATTATACAATATTATATTGTTGCTGGGGAAGGGACTCTGATGCCACAGGAGACAAGTTGGAACTGTGTTCTCTGCTCCTCTCTGGCCCCAGTGCAGCTGGCTGGGGGAAGGGCTCTGTTGTCACGGGGACAAGATGGAACTGTCCCCTCTTCTCCCCTTTCCACACTGGCCCCAGAGAGGCCATTGGTGCTGGGGGAAGGGCTCTGATGTCACAGGGGACAAGATGGAAACTCTCCCCTCTTCACTCTGGCTCCAGAGTGGCCATTGGTGCCACACCTGGAATATTGTGTCCAATTCTGGGCTCTGATGTCACAAGAGACAAGATAGAAGCTGTCTTCTCTGCTCCCTTCTTTACTCTGGCCCCAGAGTGGCCGGTGGTGCTGGAGAAAGGGCTCTGATGTCACAGGGGACAAGATGGAAACTGTCCCCTCTGCTCCCCTCATCACTCTGGCCCCAGAGTGGCCGGTGGTGCTGGAGAAAGGGCTCTGATGTCACAGGGGACAAGATGGAAACTGTCCCCTCTGCTCCCCTCATCACTCTGGCCCCAGAGTGGCCATTGGTGCTGGGGGAAGGGTTCTGATGTCACAAGAGACAAGATAGAAACTGTCTTCTCTGCTGCCTTCTTTACTCTGGCCTCAGAGTGGGCGGTGGTGCTGGAGAAAGGGCTCTGATGTCACAGAGGACAAGATGGAAACTCTCCCCTCTCCACTCTGGCCCCAGTAGCCATTGGTGTTGGGGGAAGGGCTCTGAAGTCACAGGAGACAAAATGGAGACTGTCTTCTCTGCTCTCTTCTTTACTCGGGCCCTAGAGTGGCTGTTGGTGCTGGGGGTGCTTTGGTTAGACCACACCTGGAATATTGTGTCCAATTCTGGGCACCACAATTCAAGAGAGATGTTGACAAGCTGGAATGTGTCCAGAGGAGGGAGACTCAAATGATCAAGGGTCTGGAGAACAAGCCCTATGAGGAGCGGCTTAAGGAGCTGGGCATGTTTAGCCTGAAGAAGAGAAGGCTGAGAGGAGATATGATAGCCATGTATAAATATGTGAGAGGAAGCCACAGGGAGGAGGGAGCAAGCTTGTTTTCTGCTTCCTGGAGACTAGGACACGGAACAATGGCTTCAAACTACAAGATAGGAGATTCCATCTGAACATGAGGAAGAACTTCCTGACTGTGAGAGCCATTCAGCAGTGGAACTCTCTGCCGGGAGTGTGGTGGAGGCTCCTTCTTTGGAAGCTTTTAAACAGAGGCTGGATGGCCATCTGTCAGGGGTGATTTGAATGCAATTTTCCTGCTTCTTGGCAGAAAGGGGTTGGACTGGATGGGCCATGAGGTCTCTCTGTGATCCCATGTCCCCAGTACAGTGCCGTCTGGGGAAAGAATTGCCTTATAAAACACGAAACAAAAATAGCATCAAGGAAGGGAATGTTCTATTGTGGCATCACTGTCGGAATAATGCAATATTCCTGCCTCTTGGCAGGGGGTTGGACTGGATGGCCCATGAGGTCTCTTCCAACTCTGATTCTATGAGTGCTTATATCAGGGGTCCTCAAACTAGGGGCCAGATACGGCTCTTCAGTCATTTACCCGGCCCTCGCTCAGGGTCACACTAAGTCTGAAACGACTTGAAAGCACACAACATCTCAAGCCAAAATCAGGCCACACTTCCCACTGAAATACTAATAAGTTTATATTTGTTAAAATTGTCTTCATTTTAATTATTTTATTTTTTAAAGTGTTTTTTGCACTACAAACGAGATATCTGCAGTGTGCATAGGAACTCATTCATGTTTTTTCTAAATTATAATCCGGCCCTCCAGCAGTTAGAGGGACTGTGATCTGGCCCTCTATTGAAAAGGTTTGAGAACCCCTGGCTTATATGATAGGTATAATGTGCTCAGGGGCGGCTCGTCCATTATGCGAAGTAAGCGGTCGCAGAACACTTTTTTTTGCCAGGGGCGCAGAGGCGCCTCTGTAAATGCCCCTCGACCGCCACTTGAGGAGCGCCCCCTTAGCTCACAACAGCCCTAGCAGTCCGGGGGGAGCCTCGGCTTTCTTGCCTCGCTGCCGGGCGATCCTCTTCCCAAAGGGGCCGGGCCCTTGAGCCTCGCCTAGCCCCTCTCGTTCCTGCTCCACCTGGCCACCGGGTGCGCAACAGAGCCGGCGCTCAATCGTTCTCCGCATTCAATCCCTTCCCCATGACTGGCTCCCTTTCCCAATCTCCCGGTGCTCCACCCGCCTCCTCTCCTCTCCCCAATCCATGGGTGGGCCAAGCGGTGGAGCCGCTGTGCCTGGCCCACTTTGGGTCCAGAGGCATGTCTGAAGACCCCAGCGTGCGCACCAAAAGGCGCCTCTTCTCCTGACTTTCTCTTCAGCCATTGGGACCAAGAGAGAGAGAGGGAGAGAGCCCCTCCGGCTGGAGGTATCTCCCACCTCCGCTCCCTCCTTTTTTTTGCGCCTACCTTCAGGAAAGATGGGCATCTCCACCTCCCTCTCTCTAGTTCACCTACAATCAAAGAGCATTCCGAACTCCACCAATGATGGAATTGAACCAAATATGGCACACAGTACTCCCACGACGAACAGAAAATATATATCAATGAGTTTGGAACACATCTCACCACACTAAAACAGTAGATGTGGCTCTTAATGAGACATGCCGCATTATCACAGGGTGTCTACGCCCCACACCACTGGAGAAATTACACTGCTTAGCCGGTATTGCACCACCTGACATCCGCCGGGACGTAGCAGCCAATAGTGAAAGGACCAAGGCAGAGACATCTCCAGCTCATCCCCTGTTTGGGTATCAGCCAGCATGCCAACGACTTAAATCTAGACATAGTGGGGATCAGCCAGCACGTCAACGACTTAAATCAAGACATAGTTTTCTTAGATCTACAGAGACACACGCTGGAACACCCCAGCAAGCGAGAGTCCAAAAGTGGCAGGCTCAAACCCAGAACCCCAATCCATGGGTGATACCAGATGAGAGACTCCCCCCTGGGCACACAGAAGACTGGGCGACTTGGAAGGCGCTGAACAGACTGCGCTCTGGCACCACGAGATGCAGAGCCAACCTTAAGAAATGGGGCTACAAAGTGGAATCCACGACATGCGAGTGCGGAAGAACAAACCACTGACCACCTGCTGCAATGCACCCTGAGCCCTGCCACATGCACAATGGAGGACCTTCTTGCGGCAACACCAGAGGCACTCCAAGTGGCCAGATACTGGTCAAAGGACATTTAACCAAATTTGCAAAATCTGTGTTTTTTTTCTTTTTAATCTGTGTGTTTGTTTTTCTCTGTTAGAATTGTAATACAATGGTATGGTTGCTGATGACACGATAAATAAAAAATAAATGATTGGTTTTTTGGGGGGGGGGCGCCAAAATACTGTTTGCTTACCGTTGAAAATTACCTAGGGCCATGATGGTGAACCTATGACACACGTGTCAGCACTGACACGCATGGCTATTTTTGATGACACGCGGCCACATACAGAGAAATACACCTTATAAGAGCCAAGCTAATTCCATCCTTAAATTTGTAAAAGACTCTACAGATTTAACATCTGCACATTTGAGCATTGTTCACTCCATAACTCAGCATGGAATATACATTTTTCTTATTTAAACTATAAATATTGCAAAATTATGGGTTTTTTCTCTCGAAGTTGACACCCCACCCAAGTTATGCTAAGGTTTTTGGCAAATTTTGACACACCAATCTCAAAAGGTTGCCCATCACTGTCCTAGATGTTGGAGAGGGAACAAACACCTGCTTCCATTATCGTGCCCTATTTGTGAGCTTCTCAAAAATTGCTCCTGTTTCTCCCTAAACGGTTCCGGCCCAAGATACCTATCTGACCGCATCTCGGCCTATGAACCCACCAGGACTTTGAGATCTTCCGGGGAGGCCCTGCTCTCGATCCCGCCGGCTTCTCAAGCACGGTTGGCGGGGAGGAGATAGGGCCTTCTCGGTGGTGGCTCCTCGGCTGTGGAACGCCCTTCCTACGGACATTAGACTAGCACCATCTCTAATGGTATTCCGCAAAAAGGTGAAGACCTGGATGTTTGTGCAGGCGTTTGAGTAATTTAGTGCAATCTGGTAATGGAACATAGGACTGGAACAATGGACGACGAACCTGGACTACGCTTGGATGATGAGAAGATTGGGTACGGTTGTTTTTTGTAATAATTGTGCATTGTAATTGCTTATTGGTAATGTATGGATAATGTGTTAAGTCAATTGTTATATGTTGTATGGAACCACTGCTGTTTCTACTGTTTGTGAACCGCTGTGAGTCGCCTTCGGGCTTGAGATACAGCAGTATATAAGCAAAGTACACAAAGGACACTAAGATCTTCCGGGGAGGCCCTGCTCTCGGTCCCGCCTGCGTCACAGGCACGGTTGGCGGGGACGAGAGACAGGGCCTTCTCGGTGGTGGCCCCTCGGCTATGGAATGCCCTACCCACTGACATCAGACAGGCCCCTTCGCTGCTGGCGTTTCGGAAGAAGGTTAAAACCTGGCTCTTTGAGCAAGCGTTTGGCTAATCAGTGCAATCGAACATAGGAAGACGGTAAATTGAACATAGGAATGGCACAAGGATTATGAGAATGGATTTTGTTTTGTTATCGAGGCATCATGAATTGATAATAGTGTATTTTGTTGTGTATGATGTGTTTTAACTGTTAGTGTTGTGATAATTTACATTGCGTAAACCGCATTGAGTCGCCTAATAAGGCTGAGAAACGCGGTATAGAAATGAAGCAAATAAATAAATAATAATAAATAAATAAGTAAATAAATACATATTAATGCCCAAGTTGGCCCGGGCTTGCTCCTTGTCGCCCCGCCCCCTTCGCGCCAAATGTCACCACGCCCTCTTCCTCCCCTTTCCCTATAGGACCGCACCCCTCGCGCATGCGCGGTATCATTCCACACAATGGCGCCGAGAAGGGCGGGTTGAGGCGAGCCGGCGCCCGGCCGCCATCTTGTCTTGAGGGGAAAACAGCGAGCTTGACTTACCTCGGCGTCGGAGACTTTGTCCTGTTGTTGCTGCTGCGGCATGGAGGGCTGTTGTTGTTGCTGCTGCTGTTGGTGGTGATGGTGCTGACTCTGACCGGATCGCCTATCGCCGCTGCGGTGCTGGCCGGGCCCTCCTCCTCCTCCGCCGCCTTTGGAGCCTCCACTGGGAGTGGGGCCTCCCTTCAAGGCGCCGCCGCTCCCTCCTCCTCCTCCTCCGGGCGACGGGCCTGACGCTTTCTTCGGGCCTTGGCTCGGCGGGGTGGTTTGTTGCTGCGAGGCCGGCGCTTGGGCGGAAGAGGAGGCCGCAGGAGCGGAGGTCGAGCTTGGCGCGGCACTGACAGAGGAAGAGGCCGCTGAAGAGGGCGGAGGTTGTTGCCCGGCCTGGTTCTGGGTCACCGAAGGCGCCGAGGAGACGGAAACCGACGCCGCGGAGGACGACGCAGGCACCGAAGTCGAGCTGGGCGGCTTCGGAGGCTCCGACTTGGGCGCATGGTGGTGGCCGCTTCCTCCTCCTCCTCGGGTCTGGGTCGGGCCTGGAGGCGGCGAGCGGAAGTCGTGGTTCCCCGGCAGGCCTCGGCCTCCTCCGCCGCTGCCTCCCCCTATTCCTCCTCCTCCTCCACCACCACGCCGGTGGAAGCCGCCTCCACGGCTTCGAAAGCGGTCTCTCGACATGGCAAAAATGGTGGCGGTTGGCGGGGGCCGCAGGGCCTAGCAAAGCTGAAGAAGAAAAAGGAAACTGGTTTTTCCTCTCAGAGAGTTTCCAAAATGGCTGCCGCCGCTGAGACGAAAAAAGCAAACGGCCTCGCCGCTTTGTCCCTCCTTTATATAGCCTCGCAATCCCCGCCTCTTCTTTTCCCCGCCTTCCGTTTGTTTTGCTCCAATACAAAACTCGCTCTTGTCCGGATTGACAAGTAGCGCCACCAATTGTGATTCGAGCTCTTGCTCTCGCCGTCGGAGCGCAATTCCCACCTTTATCTTGCTCCAGGGCACCAATAGAGAGCGGCGTCTTGTCCGGATTGACAAGTGGCGCCACCAATTGTAATTCCAAGCCTTGCTCTACCGTCGGAATGCAATCTCCACCCCGCCCTTGCTACAGAGCACCAATAGGGAGCGGCGTTTTGTCCAGATTGACAAATCGTGCCACCAATTGTAATTCCAAGCCTTGCTCTACCGTTGGAGCGCAATCTCCACCCAGAGCACCAATAGGGAGCGGCGTCTTGGCTGGATTGACAAGGACGGTATCCAATCCGTTTTCAAATTATCGATAAAGAAGGCTGGAATGGTTTCTGCCCTCGGGTCGGTAGCGATTTTATCCAATAGCGAGCCTCGATACAAACAAACGGCGCTCAAACAATACCTAATTATGAAAGAAAAGGACGTTGACTTATTTCGGTCCTGATTGGACCGTTTGATCAGCAGTAGGCGTGGCTTCTTTTTACACTGTTCCTCCAGCCTACGCATGAAAACTAGGCCTTGCTGCAATGAGGTTGCCACGTGGTTGGACAAAAGGGGCGTCTATACTGCAGAATGAATGCAGTTTGGTGCCTCTTTAATTGCCAGGGCTTGATGCGATGGGATTTTGGGAGTTGTTGTTTGATGAGGCCCCAGCACCCTTTAACAGGGAAGGCTAAAGGCCATCAAAAATGACAACTCCCATGAATCCATAGTATTGCGCCATGGCAATTTGAACGTGGGTTCAAACTGCATTAATTCGACAGTGTAGATCAGTGGTTCTCAACCTTCCTAATGCCGTGACCCCTTAATACAGCCCCTCATGTTGTGGTGACCCCCAACCATAATATTGTTTCCGTTGCTACTTCATAATAGTCATTTTAAGGAAGACTCCAGCAATACATGGAGCGAGAGTTGCCAGATGTTCAAGCTGGGTTTAGAAAAAGCAGAGGAACGAGAGACCAGATTGCCAATATCCGCTGGATAATGGAGAAAGGCAGGGAGTTTCAGAAAAACATCTATTTCTGCTTCATTGACTATTCTAAAGCCTTTGACTGTGTGGATCATAATAAATTGGCAAGTTCTTGGTGGGATGGGCATCCCAAGCCACCTTGTCTCTCTCCTGAGGAATCTGTACAAGGACCAAGTAGCAACAGTCAGAACTGACCACGGAACAACAGACTGGTTCAAGATTGGGAAAGGCGTACGGCAAGGCTGCATACTCTCACCCAACCGTTTTAACTTGTATGCAGAACACATCATGCGATGTGCAGGGCTGGATGAATGCAAGGCTGGGGTGAAAATTGCTGGAAGAAACATTAACAACCTCAGATATGCAGATTACCACTTTGATGGCCGAAAGCGAGGAGGAGCTGAGGAGCCTTCTAATCAAGGTGAAAGAAGAAAGCGCAAAAGCTGGGTTGCAGTTAAACATCAAAAAAACCAAGATTATGGCAACAAGAATGATTGACAACTGGGAAATAGAGGGAGAACATGTGGAGGCCGTGACAGACTTTGTATTTCTAGGTGCAAAGATTACTGCAGATGCAGACTGTGGCCAGGAAATCAGAAGACGCTTACTTCTTGGGAGGAGAGCAATGTCCAGTCTCGATAAAATAGTAAAGAGTAGAGACATCAGACTGGCAACAAAGATCCGCCTAGTCAAAGCCATGGTATTCCCTGCAGTCACCTACGGATGTGAGAGCTGGACCTTAGGGAAGGCTGAGCGAAGGAAGATCGATGCTTTTGAGCTGTGGTGTTGGAGGAAAGTGCTGAGAGTGCCTTGGACTGCGAGAAGATCCAACCAGTCCATCCTCCAGGAAATAAAGCCCGACTGCTCAATGGAGGGAAGGATACTAGAGACAAAGTTGAAGTACTTTGGCCACATCATGAGAGACAGCAAAGCCTAGAGAAGACAATGATGCTGGGGAAAGGGAAGGAAAAAGGAAGAGGGGCTGACCAAGGGCAAGATGGATGGATGGTATCCTTGAAGTGACTGGATTGACCTTGAAGGAGCTGGGGGTGGTGACGGCCGACAGGGAGCTCTGGCGTGGACTGGTCCATGAAGTCACGAAGAGTCGGAGACGACTGGACGAATGAACAACAACAACATATATCACAATGTAAATATCTGATATGCAGGATGCATTTTCATTCACTGGACCAAACTGGGCACAAATACCCAATACACCCAAATGTGAATGCTAGTGGGGTTGGGGGAGGATTGATTTTGTAATTTGGGAGTTGTAGTTGCAGGGATTTATAGTTCACTTACAATCAAAGAGCATTCTGAACTCCACCAGCGATAGATTTGAACCAAACTTGGCTCCCATGACCAATGAAGGACACTGGAAGGGTTTGATGGGCATTGACCTTGAGTCTGGGAGTTGTAGTTCACCTATATCCAGAGAGCACTGTGGACTCATGCAATGGTGGATCTGGACCAAACTTGACACAAATACTCAATATGCCCAAATATGAACACTGGTGGAGTATGGGGAAAATAGATCTTGACATTTGGGAGTTGTAGTGGAGGGGACGTGGTTTTAAAAAGAGAATTTTCATATATTTCCCCAATGCCCATATGTCATGATTTACTGCCATATTGGCCTATTTCTGCAGTAGGCCTTTGTTCACATAAAATGCTGATTGTTTGAGAAATCAGTGCTCCAGTGAAGAAGTTACTATTCAAGGGTAACAACATATCCGGACAAAACCAGCTAGCTGTTTGCTAGATAGAACCCCCAAGTTTCCCAGTCGCTCTGAAGCCATGTTTGCAACAGACTCACAGATAAGATACAGTCATGGTCAGAGAACAATGGACCATAGTTATGTTATAGCTGTGCCATTGTTAGGATCCCACGTGTACTATAATGTCAATCAAAATCATAAACAACTAATGAACAACTGCATAACTAACTTAGACCAATGAAATGATTTGTCTTTGGGAACCAATGAGATGATTGATTTCTATGTACCAATCAAACTGTTTTAATGAAAGTCATAAATAATCAATGCAACCAACTTTAGGTTGGACAAACCCCTTTATTGCATTTCTATATGCATGTTTGTCACTATTGCTTCAGCTGCGCAATAAATAGCATTTTGCAGTTTTAAAGATTCAACTTTCGTGGTGTCCTTCCTCGCCCTCCTTGGGAAGGGGCAATCTGCTCTTGGATTTTGGAGTTGTGGATTATCTTGATCGTTTTTGCCCCTACACCATGACACTGGAAGGGTTTGATGGGCATTGACCTTGAGTCTGGGAGTTGTAGTTCACCTATATCCAGAGAGCACTGTGGACACATGCAATGGTGGATCTGGACCAAACTTGGCATGAATACTCAATATGCCCAAATATGAACACTGGGTGGAGTATGGGGAAAATAGATCTTGACATTTGGGAGTTGTAATTGCTGGGATTTAAAGTTCATTACAATCAAAGAGCATTCTGAACTCCACCAATGACTGAATTGAACCAGTCTTGGCACACAGAACTCCTATGACCAACAGTAAATACTGGAAAGTTTTGATAGGCATTGACCTTGAGTTTTGGACTCTACCAACAATATAATTGGCTCAAACTTCCCACATGGAATCCCCATAACCATCAGAAAATACTGTGTTTTCTTATGGTCTGCAGCGACCCCTCTGACCAGGCCTGTAGCGAGGGGGTGGTTTTAGGGGTTCAACCCCCCCCGAAATGTTTCAGATTTTTTTAAAAAAAAAACCTGGTTTACTCATGAATTTTAACTGGTTAACCAAATCTCCATGCTAAGTCTATGAGATGCAAAAATTAAGAGTCCCTCCAGAACTGCAAGCACTATCTCAGGCAAATATTGACAATTTATTCACACTGTCATTACTTGCAGCAATAGCCGATGTAGTGAAGCAACCAAGTTGGGTGGTGTGTGTGTTGAATGCTCTCATTAAGGAGGCCAGACTTGGTGGAGGTGGTTGACAGGGGTGGAGAGCTGCAGGCTATTGAAGGCTGCTCTGCCCCCTGCTGTGCTCTTTGCTTCAGCGTGAGCTAGGAGGCAGGTTTCAACCCCGCCCCCCCCCCCGAAAATTTCAACCCCTCCTGAAATTTTTTTCTGGCTACGGCCCTGCCTCTGACACCCCCTTGCGACCCCCTCAGGGGTCCCGACCCCCAGGTTGAGAAACACTGGTGTAGATGCTCTCATAGACTTTCCCAGGCAGCTTTTCCAAACCTCATTTGCACAATATAGATATAGGATATATATTGTATAGTAGCCCCCGGTGGCGCAGTGGGTTAAATCCAGGTTTGAATCCGGGGAGAGGCAGATGAGCTCCCTCTGTCAGCTCCAGCTCCTCATGCGGGAACATGAGAGAAGCCTCCCATAAGGATGATACATCCCGAATAGATTACTGCAACGCACTCTACGTGGGGTTGCCTTTGAAGACTGTTCGGAAACTTCACTCAGTCCAGCGGGCGGCAGCCAGAGCGTCATACAGGGAGCAAACCACCTCTCTGTTGTGTCAGCTCCACTGGCTGCCGATCCAGTTCCGAGCACAATTCAAAGTGCTGGTTTTTACCTACAAAACCCTATACGGCTCCGGCCCAGTGTATCTGTCCGAACACATCTCCCTCTACGTCCCACCTCGGAGTTTGAGATCTTCTGGGGAGGCCCTGCTCTCGACCCCACCTCTATCACAAGTGAGGTTGGTGGGGACGAGGAGCAGGGCCTTCTCGGTGGTGGCCCCTCACCTGTGGAATTCACTTCCTGGGGAAATTAGGCCATCGACATCCCTCCTCTCTTTCAGAAGGAAATTAAAAACATGGTTGTATGACCAGGCTTTCAGGCAATCTGGCGGTTAGATAAGGAGAATAATGACCACAATCGAT